GAACAAAGGAATTCAATATGAAGTATGCATCCAGTATCTCGTGAATGAGACATGGTCAGGATAATAATAAAGAAAAGCTCCTGTGACAGCTTGAGATAAGTGTAACTTCTGAACTAGTAGAGATAAGAGGGTAGTTGTAGTGAGTGAGTAGGGGTTATTTTACCTGAGGAATCCATTTTTGGTGTTATTTTTACCATATCTTTAATCTTTAGGGAGATAATAATAAATTTTTATATTTTTGGCGTAGAAACACAGGAACAATTACCACAGCGGGACCTGGGACCGACTTCAGTGGGCCGCGAGGCTCTTTTGGTTGCTAGCGGAGCTGCCGAGCGAGCTGCTGAACATCGCGGGGGTGGACCAAAGCTGCCCTTGGCTGCTGAGTTTGGCAGCCTTGGCCGCGTTTCACCCACCCCCGCTCAACTTCACAGTCCGCATTTAGGACAACTGTGACAGACCGGTGACACCTCGGGACATCTGACTCCAGGCCGCCAAAGGCAAGCCGATCCACCCCCAGACCATTAGAGATGCTCTGACATGTGGAATTCAAATTTTAAGGTTTGTTATGCACATTCACAACCTTGTCATGTAAGAGCAGATAATTTGTAAATATATTTACATATTTCAATGTTCACACAAATTTAACATACTTTACAAACCTTTTATTTACAACTCTTCAAAATTGCTGATGGGTTGTAAAATCATACAATACCTGTATATGAATGGAATTTTACAAACTGTATGTCTTGCAAGCAATGATTTGTAAAATTCACTTACCCCCTAGAGAATTCAGAGGGCCAAGGGCTCAAGTAGTTAGCAGAAAATCTGAGCTGTGTGCTCCAGGGGCAGGATGTTTCAGAGGTTTGATCACCCCCCCCCCCACAAGAAGAAACCAATCAAAGATACTTAAACCACTACATTATGATTTTTAGTGGGAGATTGCCCAAGAAGTAATTGAAACAAGATGTGAAAAAGCCAAGAGAGTGGTGTGAATGGGAGAAGAACCATGGACAAGAAAAGTGAAAGTCACAAGATGAAAAAAAAATTCATTTAGTTTTTCTGTAGGTGTGGGTCAACTATCTTGCTGTATTGTTTCCCACTTTTGCTAGTTTTACGTTCTACGAAATCCGGCTCAGCATGGATCAAGTCTCTTAAGGCATCAATTACATCTTGGTGGAGAAATTTAAAACTCTTCAGACCATCGAATGACAGAGAAGCTCGCCGTTTGTTTTCATCAATACAAATGTTGCTGCCACTGCAAGTAGTTCGACTTGGAAGATCAGGTAGAGTGGATATGGTGTCTTGAGGACTGTTCAAGTTCATATATATGATCAGGTAAGGGTTGTGCTGCATGAGTTGAATTCCTGAGTAACTATCGGTCCTGTAATTTTCATCTTCTACATTGATGGTCGTATTCCGGTTTTTGACCTGAATCCCACAGAATGAAACGTTCTTTGGATCCAGATCATCTGAATCTCGTTTAAGGTAGATTGTAAAGATTTGATCAAAGCCTGGCTGGTTTGGATGGCACTGTGCAGCCATACCACGGTACATGCATTCCAACAAGTCGCTGGGTGTAGGGGTATACTTGATGAGCAAAAAATGATTCCAAAAAATCATTCCGTGATTCAAAAGATCTTCTCTCTGTTCAACTCCGATTGAACCGAGATCCAAATCTTTTTCTAGGACCCAGGAAAACCCCTATGGAACACAGTAACCAAAAAACCAGGATTTTTGAAAAATTCATACATTTTTTGAGCCCATTCATACACATTTCGTGCGTAGGTTCACCACTTTCCATGAGAATTCATACATTTTTGGTGCCTACCTTCTGCACAGGGGGGAGGGGGGGGAGGGGTAAAAGAGGCAAAAAAGGGGGAGAAGCTAACCATACACCAGCTCTCACTTCAAGGGGTCTAGTTGCTGGTGCAAATAATCCCTCTGAACTACACATCAGCTGTCAGCCTTAGAGCCAGCACAGCTGGCCAAAAGACTGCTTTTACCATCTTTTCTCACTATAATATTACCATAACTTTTTACTCATAAGATATTTCCTGAATCTGACTTCAGATATGGATTTCTCTGCTAAATTAACCCCTAGTCACCACTGACCACTTTTATCTTACTCCAATCCTTCTTATACTTTGCCTTATTCCACAGTACTTGTCTAAATTCTGCTACTCAAGAATTATAGTCCCCCTCTACCACAAGTACATGTAATCATTACGTAATCCAACTCTGAAAATCCTGTCAGAGGATTCTGAGTTCGCATTTTTCAGGATTTTCAAGGTTTTTTAGACTCACTTTGAACCAGAACCACCAACAAACCAACCAACCCCGTTACCGCTTGGCGCTTAACTTGTCGAAAGGATTCCAACTCCCAGTTTTACCTCCACGTGGTCGTGCTAGGACTCTGACAGTTAGTATTCTTTCTTGTTGCTTGATTTCTCTGTTGCTCTGTTATCTCAGTCTCACATATGGTTCTTCAACCATATCTTTCTCTCTAACTCTCTCTCTTTGATCAACTCAATCATACTCTTCATCTCATTGTTTGGTGGTAAACCTGAAAACCACATAGGTTTCCCTTTAAAGAGCCTTGATCATAGATCTAAAAAATAGTGGTTAGTTCTGAACATATTCAAACTAAAACCTTCTACAGTTTCTTTTGTAGAAGAGGCTAGTCTTTGACAGCTTATCAGCCATCCTACTAAAGGAAAGTAAGACTGCAGATTCAATCAAATAAAAGATAAAAAACAAATAAAAATATATTTCTCTTTTCCCTTCTATTCTCTTTTCTCTTGTCTTTCCCCTTTTTCTCTAACTTCTGGTTGTATTTCCCTTCTTCCTCGAAATCCAATCAGTAGTTCCCCTCATTCTTTTGTGTCCTGTCGCCACATAAGAGGCTCAGGCTCACAATTGGGGGCCTCATCGGGAAATTATCCCCTTTTCTTATATCATCATATACTAGATTCTAATCTTAACTCAGGCCTATAACTCTAATATCCAATCATTCGAAAAAAAAAAAAAAATTATTTTACACTTATCGCTCAAAGATTTTTTTTTCTTTTCTTTAAACTCCAACCTGACCTCTCTCCTTTTACGTTTTCCATCGCGGAGCGCTCGCCAAAATCTTAACATCTTAATCGGAGACTGACTTAGAATATTTTCTTTTCTTCATCTATCACTCAATCGCCATACCTAAAAATTCCGCGAAAGTGAAGACCAGAAAGAATATCATTCCAGACTCTCCTAAAGATACCTCGCCGCTGTCGTCTTCACCCCTCTCAACTATACCTTCGGACGATCTGATAGAGAACCAAGCTAGGCTACTACCCAGAGACGGAAATCTTATAGGATCGAACGTCTGGACTCCTATCAGTACAACCTCCGACCACTCCAGAAAAAACAGAAGGAAGAAATCCTCGGAGAATCCTACTCCTCGTCCTAAACTTGCTGTCGTGAAAGTTAAGAAGAAATCAAATAGAGCCAGTAACTCCGCTCCTTTAGCCTCTTCTTCTCAGAAACGGACTGCAAACCCGATCGCGAATACCTCACCAGTGAACGAGAAAGAAAAAAGTATCGGGAAGAGCAATAGAGAAAGTAGTAAGTCCTTAGAAGGACTCCAATACGTACTCTTGTTGTTAAACTCCTAGCTAACCTACTCCGAATCTCAATATTTATCTCATCTTTCGAGTACAGAAAGACCTTCTTCTATCCAACGACCAATCGATCACACTACAACCGTATCAGATACTAGCGATAGAACGCAACCGAAAGCGAGTATCCCTAGTGAGTTTTCGCTTCTAAAATCTGTGAAGTAGATTACTCCTCTCCGCATCTATCAATACCGTTTCGAGTGACTTACCGTTGTGTATCTCTTCTACATTTACGATGGGTGCTCATCTCAGGAATGGCCGAAACCTCTCTCACGAGCTCCAACAGCGATACCGCCTCAGCCCAGCAGCCGAGGACCGGCTTCGAAAGCTTAGAGAGCAGCCTCCCACCGATAAACGAGGATACGCTCCTACGACCTCAAGCCCAATGGCCGGCCCAAGACCAGGGAGTGTCCCCAGCGCTGATCAATTCGCGAGCCGCGTCCATAGCTCTGGAATCCAACCGATCGATGCCTGTGCCTCACCCGATCGACCGAGAACAAATGCCGTTCTTGAACAACTACGCGGACAGACCCCCTCATCCTCGTCCTTTCATGACAACCTCGTTAGCGAACAAAATGGAGGACACAACCGCCGTCATCAACCCCGCTATCATCAGCAGGTCCAACACCAGCCCGAGCACCAGTGGCACCAACACCCTCAAGAAGATTGGAGGGGATACGAGAGGAACTGGAGAGCTCCGAGGGACCAGACAACCAGAGTCATCGAGATAGGAGACTTCTTGATGAGAGCCGAACGAGTGGCAGGGAGGATATACCGCTGGAGAGGAAGAGGTCAAGGGAGACCCCAACAACAAGGAGGTCCCCACAGAGGACCCCAATAAGTAGTGACTCACAAATTAGTTTAGATATAGACAACCTTTCCGACCCCTCTAATAGGGAATTTTTTCTCCAAAATTTAAATAATGATTTATCTCAACACGCTCCTTTACTCATAGAAGAAAATCTACAACATCTTTTTTCTTCTTTCCTTTCTGATTTGACCGGAACAGTAAAAGCTATACCTGGTACCCTCTTAGAAACTTGTGTAGATAGTCTTAAAGAGAAAATGAATGAATCTATATTGAAATTTATTCAAGAAGATATTACGCCTTCTCTTATTGACAATTTCCTGAGCCAAATCTGTGAGAACAATAAAGAAATTAAGCATGTGAGTAAAAGCGGAGAAATAGATGAGATAAAGAAACATCTGGACCAAAAAATAGAGAGTCTACAAGACGTAATATTAGTGAATGAAGCACAATGTTATTCCAATGTAGATATTCTTAAGAGCCAAATCACATCAATGGAGGAAAGAATTAACAGACAATTCCAATCTATCAACTCTCAGATCAATGACTTAACAGTAAATGAGAGCAACAGATTTGAACACGTAAAGAGAAGATTCGGAGACGTATCATCTGTAGTGAACGCAGTTAATTCAAAAATTGATTCCATCATTGAACCTGTAGACAGAGAAGCCCCCCCTCATCTACAGTACAACAACCCTATTCTGAACATGCAACATCCCCCTCCTCCAAATGAACCTACTAAACCAGAAGAAAAATTTCAACTCCATGAAATAGTTCAAAAACCTCTCCAGGCAGACAATCAGAGGAAAGGAATGACAGCGGAAGAACTGGAAAAATTCCCATTCATTGACCATGGTGAGATTAGTATAGAAATCAGAAAGGAATTTTGGAGATCCATACCAAAAAACCAAGATTGGGAGAAATTCTCGGGAGAATTGCCCTATAATCATGAACTATGGATAAGGAATATTGATGTTTTCGTGCAAGACTACCTCTTAGTTGATGTCATGATAATTAGCAGATTAACCTTGCTCCTCACAGATACAGCAAAGAATTGGTACATTGGAATCAGAGACCACAATAAGAATAAATCTTGGGCTTGGTGGAAGAATGCTATCAGGACCAAGTTTGGTACGCACACATGGAGGTGGAAAATGCAACAGGAATTTGAGCAGGATTATTTCTCTATGAACACTAGCAAAGTACATAACTGGTTTGGTACCCAGAGGGAGAGACTTAGAGCTTTCCAACCGGAACTTAGTGAGTTCCTGATCTGTGAAAAGATCATGAAGCAATGCCCAGGAACTTTAGAACATGCTGTCAAGAGTAGGTACAAACGTGATGCTACGGAGATGACTTTTGAGGACATGGTTATCATTGTTGAAGATGTATTAGACAGAGCTATGACTAAAGTTAAGTCAAACCAGAACAATTACTATCAGAACAATAGGAATTCGTGGAAGAATAACAGTTCAACTACCAAGGTTGAACCGAACAAAAACACCATAGATTCTAACAAAAGAACTCCGCTCAGCACCAGTCAAAGGTAAAGAAGTCTGCCACTTCTGCAAACAGCCTGGACATTTCTCAAGAGAATGTCCCAAGAAGAGAAGCAGAATTAACAATGTAGGGATGACATCAGATGGTGAATCAGAAACATACGAAGAAGATAATCAAGACAGAAGCCCTCTTGCTGAAGAGGAAGAAGAAGAGAACAATCTTGATAGTCAGACAAAGGACCACATGATACTAGCCTTAGATAATGACGGGACTTCTGACCCACTGTATGATTTCAGCTTAGGAAACTATGCAGTTGAATGCGAGATTACTCGTGATTTCTCTATTGCAGAGATCCAAGCAGAAACTCACCAACCCCAGACTTGGGATAAGAGCTGCACATCTTCACACATTGAAGACGCTAGACTTATGAGATGTAAGCCTGATAAAGGAAAGGCTCATTTGATAGGAAGATCTAATTTGACCAGTGTTTTAATTAATGATAGTGAGTTCTCATGCCTCCTAGATAGTGGCGCTTCTTGTTCAATCATCAGTAGTACTCTTTTAGACTGTGTTCTTCCTGAATGGCAAGACAATTTGATGCCCATCCAACATGCCAAATTCCACAGTTGTAGTGATCAGCTACAACCCCTTGGAATTGTTGAACTGCCTCTGATATTCCCTCATACGAAAGGCTCTGTTAGGATTCAAACTGAATTTGTAGTTATGAAGAATGCTAGAATTAACTATCTAATACTAGGAAATGACTACATGTCTCTATACGGATTCGATATAACTAATAGTAAAGAGAGATATTTTACTATAGGAAATGAGAATAAGAGAAAGAAATTCAGTTTCAAGTCCCACTTCAGAGAGCCAATGCCACCATCTACGGATATCTCAGCAGTGAAAAAGATAGATAAAGATCTAAACTCTTTCATAACAAGTGAACTAGCTGAATCCAAAGTCAGTGATAAATTGACACATGATCAGAAAACTCTACTATTTGAAGTACTGTACAAGCATAAAGATGCTTTCTCCAATACTGATCAACCACTTGGAGCCATTAGAGGTCACGAAGTTAGTATTAAACTCAACACAAGCAGACCATACCCCCCATTATTAAGAAGACCCCCGTACCCTGCTAGTCCTAAAAGCAGAGAGGCATTGGAAGAGCACATTGAAGAACTAGTTCGACTGAATGTGCTAAGGAAGGTTGGACATAATGAAATTGTTGAGATCACCACTCCAGTGATAATAGCATGGCACAATGGAAAATCCAGGATGGTAGGAGATTTCAGGTCATTGAACAGCTACACAGCTGCAGATAGGTACCCCATACCTAAAATAGCTGAGACATTGAATAACCTAGCCAAAGCTAAATTTCTCACCAGCATGGATGTACTGAAAGGTTTTCACCAGAATGTGATTGCTGAAGATTCCAGGCATCTTCTGAGAATTATCCTCCACAAAGGAATCTACGAGTACTTGAGAATGCCCTTTGGGATAAAAAATGCCCCCTCTCACTTCCAAAGGATGATGGATATGGAATTCAGGAGAGAACTTGATGAGAAATGGGTGATAATCTACATTGACGATATTATAATCATGTCAAATACTTGGGAGGAACACCTGGAGAGGATAAGCAGGATTCTCCAAATAGTTATCAACATGAACATGAAGATATCATTGAAGAAATGTAACTTTGGATTCCACCAGATTAAAGCACTAGGACATGTAGTGTCTGGAATAGCTATAGGGATAGACCAGAATAAGGTAGCAGCTGTACTGCAAAAACCAGTCCCAGCTAATAAGAAAGAAGTGCAATCATTCTTAGGTTTTGCTGGATATTACAGACAACACATTAAAGGGTTCTCAGATATAGCAAAACCACTCACAGAATTGACTAAACTTGAGACAGTTTTTGAGATGACCCACAGGAGACTAGTAGCTTATAACCTCTTGAAAGAGAAACTCACTACTGCCCCCCTCCTCCTTTTCCCAGACTGGGAACTCCCCTTTTTACTATATGTTGATGCAAGTATGACTGGATTGGGAGCTGCACTTCACCAGATCCAAGTTATAGATAAGGTTAGGCAAGAAGGACCCATAGTCTTCATCTCAAGACAGTTAAAAGACAGTGAGACCAGATATGGTGCCAGCCAGTTAGAATGTTTATGTCTGGTTTGGGCCTTAGAGAAGCTCCATTACTACCTAGATGGCAGTGCATTTGAGGTTATAACTGATTGTACAGCTTTGAAATCCTTAACAAACATGAAGACACCAAACAGACATATGTTGAGATGGCAAATTGCTATTCAAGAGTATAGAAGCAATATGCAAATCAAGCATAGAGATGGAAATATCCACAAGAATGCTGATGGACTCAGCAGATGGGCCCTGCCAAATGATCCCAGTAATCCAGCCTATGACCCTGAAGATAAAGATGATGACAGATTCCCCATCATGGGCATACACGTATCCACCTTCAAAGACAAATTTTTTGCAACTGTCCGAGAAGGCTATCAGAAGAATAGTAACACAGTCATCCTGACACAACTTTTGCAGAAAGACAGGAAAGACTTAGGCTTGAAAAATTCATTACAGGAGCCATGGAAGTCAGCTTTTGCAGAAGGTAGATTCTCCATGTTTGATGGATTACTATACCACCGTGAGAAGCACAACTCAGTATTGGTTCTAGCGGACAAAGAGAGTATTAATGTCATTTTACATGAATGTCATGACAGTGTATCTTCAGGACATTTCTCAGAGGATAGAACAATTGAAAAGGTAGAAGACACAGCTTGGTGGGTAAACTGGAAAAAGGATACTAGTGAATATTGTATCTCCTGCGACAGGTGCCAGAAAGCAAACAAAGCAACAGGAAAAAGGTTTGGGTTACTCATGAAGATAGAAGAACCATCAAAACCTTGGGACATAATCAACATGGACTGGGTAACTTCATTATCCCCAGGAGGAGCAGCTAGCTTCAATGCATGCCTAGTGATTGTTGATAGGTACTCAAAATCCCCAATATTTGTACCCTGCTTCAAGGATGACTCTGCCATGGACACAGCAATCTTGTTTTGGAATAGAGTCATGCCCAGAACTGGAATACCCAGGGTCATCATATCAGACAGAGACCCCAAATTCACCTCTGAATTCTGGACAGGCTTACACAGCATGTTGGGCACTAAACTTTCGTTCTCTACCGCTTACCACCCGCAAACCAATGGGTTAGCAGAAAGGATGATCCAAACCTTGGAAGATATGGTTAGAAGATTCTGTGCTTTTGGTTTGGAGTTCAAAGATAATGACGGGTACACCCATGACTGGGTCTCCTTGCTCCCTATCCTAGAACTAGCTTACAGCACAAGTGTGCATTCTACTACTGGAAAAGCTCCAGCACTACTGGAAAAAGGATGGATCCCAAATCTACCAAAAGACTTCATTAAACAAGAAGGAGTAGATATACATCCTACTGCCTTGAACTATGGGAAAATATTTGACAAGGCCAGAAAACATGCTGAGCATTGTATCTCTGAAGCTGTCCAATATAATAAAGGAAGATGGGATAAAACCCATAAGGAGCCATCTTTTAAAGTAGGTGACCAAGTATTGATATCCACAGCAAACTTCACCAATCTCTCAGGACCAAAGAAAATGAGAGACTCGTTTGCCGGACCCTTTGTTGTTAGAGCTCTCCATGGAAAGAACGCAGTTGAAGTCATTCTGACAGAAGAACTTGGTAGGAAACATCCCACCTTCCCAGTCAGCCTTGTCAAACCGTACCACGCCCCAGATACTGAAAAATTTCCCCTAAGACAACAAGTTAAAGTGGTAATTCCCCCATTGGAGAAAGATAGTAACAGTAAAGTAATATTGAAAATACTGAGAGAAAAAAGACTTAGAGTTGATAATAAGGATGTCAGGATGTACCTAGCCAGATATAAAAATATGAGTGCGGACAAGGATGAATGGCTCCTAGAGAAAGACATCCCAGACTCTAACTCATTACTGAGGAAGTTCAGGAGTGAGAAGAGGTCAAGTTAATCAGTCCCATTTATTTTGCTAAAGAAATGGAACCTTTTTGGTGGTAGGGAATGTCAGCCTTAGAGCCAGCACAGCTGGCCAAAAGACTGCTTTTACCATCTTTTCTCACTATAATATTACCATAACTTTTTACTCATAAGATATTTCCTGAATCTGACTTCAGATATGGATTTCTCTGCTAAATTAACCCCTAGTCACCACTGACCACTTTTATCTTACTCCAATCCTTCTTATACTTTGCCTTATTCCACAGTACTTGTCTAAATTCTGCTACTCAAGAATTATAGTCCCCCTCTACCACAAGTACATGTAATCATTACGTAATCCAACTCTGAAAATCCTGTCAGAGGATTCTGAGTTCACATTTTTCAGGATTTTCAAGGTTTTTTAGACTCACTTTGAACCAGAACCACCAACAAACCAACCAACCCCGTTACCGCTTGGCGCTTAACTTGTCGAAAGGATTCCAACTCCCAGTTTTACCTCCACGTGGTCGTGCTAGGACTCTGACAGTTAGTATTCTTTCTTGTTGCTTGATTTCTCTGTTGCTCTGTTATCTCAGTCTCACATATGGTTCTTCAACCATATCTTTCTCTCTAACTCTCTCTCTTTGATCAACTCAATCATACTCTTCATCTCATTGTTTGGTGGTAAACCTGAAAACCACATAGGTTTCCCTTTAAAGAGCCTTGATCATAGATCTAAAAAATAGTGGTTAGTTCTGAACATATTCAAACTAAAACCTTCTACAGTTTCTTTTGTAGAAGAGGCTAGTCTTTGACAGCTTATCAGCCATCCTACTAAAGGAAAGTAAGACTGCAGATTCAATCAAATGAAAGATAAAAAAAAAAAAAAAAAAATATATATTTCTCTTTTCCCTTCTATTCTCTTTTCTCTTGTCTTTCTCCTTTTCTTCTAACTTCTGGTTGTATTTCCCTTCTTCCTCGAAATCCAATCAGTAGTTCCCCTCATTCTCTTGTGTCCTGTCGCCACATAAGAGGCTCAGGCTCACATCAGCCCTTCAAAGCATTGAGCCTGGGCTTTCAAGTTAGAAGGGTGGCCTTGGGGAGCATTGTGGCCAAAATTTTTGTGACTTTCATACACCTTTGGTTACTACCTCCCCTTCTTTGGTGAAAAATCCATACATTTGAGGTGAGTACCTTTCTGGGCAAAAACAGCAATTCATACATTTGGGGTGAGTACCTTTTTTGGTTTTTGACCAAAAATTCATACATTTTGGTTACTGTGTTCTATAGCGGCTTTCCTGGGTCCTCTTTTTCTTCTTTGCCAGTTAGAACTTTCAAGAAATTCGCCAGCCGAACGGGACGTCCATAGACTATACCCTCGCGCGAGGTGACCGGCAAGGCGGCTTGCATTGCACACAACAGAATAATCTGACTAGCAAGTTCTCCTGCACCTCCGGCGGCATCGAGTCCATGCAGCACAATTGTAGTGAGAGCTTTAATGCAATCGATCAACTTTCTCTCATCCTTCAGAAACTTCATAGCAGCCGCTGCAAATGTGAATTGTGATGGGTAATTGCTCATCACCATATCACAACCTGGGCTGATGTGATCACAGATCGCAGAGTGAGATGCAATGAGCTCCCTGTTGAGGTGATAGGCGCCGTTGATTCGTGGCTGGATGGCAGGACCGAGAAATGCAAACGCTTGAGCTTTCGTTACGATGCGTGATGATTGAGTGTGTTCAGTTGGCCCAAGCAGTTTGAAGTGAGCCAATTCTAAAATAGCATTATGAATTTCTTCGGGTTTTTGCTCTTTGGCTATCGCATCACGATAGTAGGCCCCAAAGATTGGGTATCCGTACTTGAATAGCCGTTCCGGAGACACCAATTCCCTCCAGGATTGGGGTGGTTCAGTTGGGACCATGGCATCAAACGAAGCGATTTCGTATATCGGTGCAAAAAGTTGATCCTCTCCCACAAAGTCGTATCTTGCACTCGGATCAAATTTTGAACCGAGACTGAAGTTGGCAGCTACGTGAGAAGTAGTATCGACTAGGATTGTAAAGAAACCCATATCTGAAGCTATGTTCCTGATTGAACGACCAAAGGTGCGGAAACGTGATTGTTCACTATCGACGGTGTCAGCCTTGAGGTATATACATACCCATAGGCCTCAAAATATAAAATATTAAAAATAACAATTACAACTCATAGTCAAGTCTCAAGACTAGCCCAAGAAAAAATATTATAAATAATAAATTAATATTAAGCATAAAAATCTATATATAAAAGTGTATATGGTCAAAAGCCTGCAAATGACCACAAAGGCCTTTAAAAATAAAAATAAACTTTTTTACTTTACTTAGAAAATAAAAACAAAATTCATGTAGTTACATACCACTGTGTAACTACATACTCAAAAAACAAAGAATTCTGTAAAATAATCAATAACTAAAGAGTTACAGACATTTAAAGTTACAGAACCAAATCAGCTGATGACATAAACAAAGTTCATTGGATGCGAACTCAAGATAAACAAGGTTCCAAGGCTTGTGCAACATGTACAACCTTGTAGCTCAGCAACTATAACCAAGTGACCAGTTTAGACCACATATTCTGAACCCTGACCAGCCACTTGGTCATGTAACCTGTTTTGTTTATCCCCAACCTTAATAACCTTTCTGATCGAACTCAGAATATCCTCTTACATCAGCCATCCACCAGAACAACCCTGGTCCAGTTTGAAATCAACAGGGTTGAGAATTGGCCCATTTCAATCTGGCCCAAGTAGTTTAACCTGTTCTGAGCCAGTACATATCAGAATACCTCAACCAAATCCCTCCAAAATGGATTGGAGACGAAACAAAAAGTCTCCTTTGGGCATATAGAACCCTAGAAATAACTTGGCATTGCATCATTACTTCCTGACTGGGTAGCTGTACCCGTGGTTACAGTTACAACTGTTTCAGCCTTTGGGATACTGATAACCAAGGCTTTGGGCATGGCTTACACCCAGCCAAACAAGCCCAAAGCATCAGTGTCATCGTGCAAAAATGCACTGCAAGCCACCCTCAGGTGTGTGGCTATATAAGGACTCCTTTACTGAGTGCTTAAACCTCAGAAATTCACCCACTTCACCATATATACTACTATATACTTGAAGCCAGCATTTCCAACCATTTCTCTTATCAACCTTAGCATTCCAACCACGAAACAGAGCTCCTCTTTTACTGCTACTTTCAGCCTTAACCTGTAGCCTTTGCCCTTAAAAGATCCCAGCTCCTTATTCCTTTAAAATTGGCCATTTTCTTACTTTCTGTTGCAGAAGTATTGCTCTAGAAATTGCCCAGGAATCTTCAACTCATCCAAAAGACCTTTTTGGACGAACTCCTTGTGATCTATTGTCTAACAAACAATTCACCCTTCCTCAATTCCTCCTTTGGAATTCAGAGTATTGATTAAAACTCAACTCTAGGCCTCTTAACAAGTAATATTGTGAGGTTATAATTTCTTTGATTGTTTAACCAACAATCCCCTTTTTGTAAGTTTAAATACACTTTAAACCTTAAAATTTAATATAAAATTACTAACAAAAATTATTAGGACAGGAATAGTACTAGAATTTCCTTCTAGTTTCATATCCAGACCTTACAGACGGTGTAAGTTTTGAGTAGCGCCCTTGCTTCATCTAACGCCAGCAGTACCTTCAAAGAATGACCTGACTTGATGAGCTCCTAGTCTGGGTTTGTAATGAATTCCGTAGATTCACTCATCGCTCTGACTGCTTCATGAAGCGTGGTGTCAGGAGATTTCTTCAATTCCGCTTCAACATCCTTCTTGAATGCTTCTTGGGTTCGTCTGGTCCTATCGAGTGATCCCAAGCTCGCCACTTCGGTGTAGTCATTCCACTCCTTCAACCTTTCTTGCTTTGTCATAAACCTTCCTTCCTTGATCATGTCGCGATTCTGACGGTTGAAAAAATCGGCGACAACTTGGAAGATAGCAGCAAGAACAGAGCTATAATACGTCTCACTATTTCCCGCATCTTTCTTTAGCAGAGTGTCAGCAAGCGCCGACCTAGGCGGGTAGCCTGTGGAATCTGTGGGTCGAAGACAGATGAGAATCACGCAAATATGCTGCAACATCTCCATGAGCAGCCGGGTTTTCCCACACATTGAAGGGCCAATTAGTGCAGCGTATGGTGCATAATAGTTGGGTGTTTTCCATTGCTTGGAATATTCATCAAGTTTTTGTAAGATTGTACTAACAATCATCTCACTTCTCAAGAAATTTGAGTCGTAGCCTTTCTTGATGACATTGCCGGAGACTCGTGAGGAAAAAAGGCCTGGTCTGGAAACGGTCTTGAGGATCCGGCAACCCTCTTCCTCGGATTTGGCTCGAAGAGCCCGTAGCATTGTTGCCCGAGTGATTTGAGGCTGATCATGAAACTGAGGGTAATTTCGCAATATGGCCAGTTTGAGGGCCTTGTTTTGGAGATGTTTCTGATTGGTTATGGAAAACGCAGCGCTTAGTTGATCGAGAGAGAGCTGTCGTTCGATAAACCAAGACCATGAATAATCACGCAGGGGGATATTGACTTTTCCCTCGGAATCCAAAGCTTCAAAGAACTCCTCAAGAAGGTCGAGATACTTGGCAACTAGGTGTTCTTCAAAATGATCGGAATTGCAGACAGATGAGTCAACGTAAATAAGGGGGTAAGTGAATTTTACAAACTATTTTTTACAAGACATATGTCTTGTAAACCGGATAGTTTGTAATTGTAAAATTACGTTTTTATGGGGGTAATGTATAATTTTACAACCCATCTGTCATTTTCGAAGTTTGTAAAAAATTGGTTTGTAAAATATGTTTGTTAAAATTGTATCACAACATGGCATTATGTAATTTTACAAACTATATCATGCAAGTCTTGCATGACTAGGTTGTAAAGTTGTATATCAAAGCTTAAATTTAGAATTTTACAACACATAAGCTTGCAAACCTTAATGTCTTGTGAAACTACGTATGTAAAAAAGCTTATTGGCACCCTGTAATAGAATTTTACAACACATAGTTTACAATCTATCATTAAACTTTCAATACATATCCATTAAGCTTCATATAAGGTTCATACAAACATTTGACAAACACGGCATATCATGGGTGATATGCCAGGCCTTCTCAAGTTCTCCCATCCTTTTTCGATCACCGACAACAGAGAACTCAACGCCTGACGAACGCCGACGCCATCCAGCCTAAACAGAGAAAGAGAAAACGTTCTCAGGATGTCAGAACCACGGACGACAGGCGACGAATCGATCCTTCCGACGGGTGCAACCGACTCCAGGGAATCAAACGATGACGCCGGCGTCGATCCCCGTCCTCGGCCGTTGTTCAACCCGCCGTCTACCGCTTCCACTCCCCTCGGCACAAATCCACCAAGTCCCTGGATCATCACCCCGCCAGAGTTGCTTTTTACCGCCAGCCCCCATTTGGAAACCCCCGATATCGACAGCGAAATGAGGATAAAGATCAATTCAGTGAGATCTTCGGATTCGAAGCGATCACAGAAGACCGCTAGCGCGACGGCGAAAGACATGAAAGCAAAAAAAGAAGAAAAAGAAGAAAAACAAAAAAAACAAAAAAAAGAAGAAAAAGAAAAAAAAGAAGACTCGACTTTGATGCCATCAAAGAAGACGGCTGGCGCGACGGCGAAAGAGGCGAAAGAAAAAAAAGACGAAAAAGAAAAAAAAGATGAAAAAAAGAAAAAGAAAACATACCGTGGATGATATCGTCGACCGAGAAGCAAACCGACGACAATCGAATTGAAAAGAGCGAGGATTGAATAGAAAAGAGCGAGGGTTTCGAGGATGAGGAGGTCGCCGAGGAGGGGTCGACCACCTCGACCAATCGGACCACGGACCAGACCACGAACCAGAGGAGGATAGCCAATCCGAAGATGGCCATCCTGGAGCAAACATCGCGGATTCGGACGATACGGATGCCGTGCGAGATCCGCAAGCGAACGCGAAGGAGTGGTTCCTCCCAAATTTGGAGGACACCTTCGAGACCTACATCGATCACGGGTGTATCCTTGACAAGCAAGGGTACCCGATCTATCCCAACGGAAAAACGATCTTCGTGCGCAAACCTGGCGAGACGGTGACAAACTTCGGCACCGTTGGTTTTTCGAAAACATCCTCAAGCAATAAGCGAGGTATCAACAACGATTGGAAAGTTGTTCGTTACTTCTGCCTGGGGGCCCTGGTGTGTGACGATCCTTCTTGCCAGTGGGCTGGCCCCCCCCCCCAACCGGAAAAGGTGGTAAACAGAAGCTTGAAGAGGGGTAAGCCCCTTTTATCATTATTTCTTGATTGATTCTCCTTCTGTTTGATGGTTTGTAAATATATTTGCAAGAGTTGTAAAAATTTTTACAACTCTTGCAAATATTTTTACAAACCATTGCCCCACATGGCTTCATGACCTTTACTGACCATGTATGTAATTTTGCTACCAAACAGGAAAACAAGATGTCCCGGTAAATCAGGGAAATGCAAGGGCAATGTTACCCACAAGAAATGTTGCCGAAACTCCGTGGCTGTAAGATTCGATTACCACTTGCCTACCGGATGGGGTCTCCTCAGGCACAAGGGCACGCATCCGCATCCGTGGCCTGAGGCTAAAAAGCCTGACCCCATGTCCAAGGATGAGTTGAAAGCGGAAATTTTGAAGAATCCGAGTGCGGGGGCACTTAAACTTAAGGTGAGTTGGTCCCACTTCCTACTTTCCTGATCATATTCCTCATGTTCTGTGATTTCTATGTTATGTAGACTGGAAAGCGGACCAATCCAGCTGCCGGCGCAAATAGTGTAACTGAGATCCATCCAGCTTATATCAACAAAGACCGATTGGCGTATTACCGGCGTAAGATGCTCGTTGAATTGAACTTGGTTCCTGACAAACTTGGGGGAGGAATAGGAGACAAATTTGTCTTGGACATGTTTGCGTGGGCTGCGTGAGTTATTTCTCTTCTTATGTTATGTCTCTTCTTGAGTTGAGTCATTGCTGATCCAATGTGTTGACTGTATTTGTTCTCACAGGCGTGGCTTGTTGATAACGTCTGCTTCATTCTTGCCACAGAATGAACACTTCACATTCCAAAACCAATGGATGGCCGATCGACTACTTGCTAGGGATGAGAATAATCAGGTCTACAGCGGTGTGGTAAGCCACTCCTGAAAATTCAAAGTTATCAAGAGTACAAATCACAGAGGAATCACAGGATCAAGACACCCCAGAAAGCTCCCCAGACCCCCAAAACCAATCATGAATCCCCTCAAGCACAGACCACCTGGATAATAATATTTCCCAGCAGAAGCTCCACAGCCCTGAAACTCATTCCCCTCCAAACATATTCCATTCTTCTTTCTCCTTGGGTTCCACACTAGTAAAGATCCCCCTGATCCATGAAACTGTTATCTCCTCCTATTTTCTTCCAGGGAATATTCCACCCCTTAGTTGTTTCATACTAGTAACCTTGGGAGCATTTTTCCCACTGCTTGTTTCCCCTGTCTCTATGGATAAATATATTTTCTCTTGTTTCATGCTCTCATAGAATTTTCCACTTATCTTCCAACCACAAGCTGGCCACTCCCCAGAATTTTGTATATAAGGAGCTTTGTTTTTCCTCTTCATTTGTTCCTCATCAGATCCTGCCCCAGCAATTCAGATAACTGATCACCCACTATTAGCCAGGTATTTGCCCATCAACATTTGGAATACCTTGATTTGTGAACAAGTATATTTAGACTAGTAAACATAAGAAACATTAGACATACCATCCTCAAGAAATCTCCACAGCCACACCTTTTTCCTTAAGAGTCCATACTCTTATATTTTCTTGTTATCAGAGAGGCAGCCCAATAAAGCACTCATCCCTCTCAAGCTCTATTCCTCCCAAGAGTAGTTCCACAAGTGGTGTCCCAACAGTGGCTAACAGATCTTTGGTTTTTAGTCACTACCACTTACAAATTACTAGACTACATATAGGCAGACACAGATTAGCTAGTTATTACACACCTCAGTAGAAATAGAAATAACATACCTTATCTATCCTTACTCCTCCCTTCACCTTCACCATGAATTTTCCACCAAGAAGAAACTCTCTGTCTGGACCTGCCATCAACATGGCCAATTTGGTTATCCCAGCTTGGAGAGGACAAATCTTACCTCCTCAATTACCTCCTCACCAGTACTATAACCCTGGAACAACCTTCTACCAACCACCTGCCCATAATCCAGCCTTTAACCCTGGACCAATGAGAAACCCCCAACCCTCTGAAAGTGATGACCTGGACCCCTTGGAAACTCAAGAACCCCTGTACCCCCAAGGAACACCCAGTCAGCAAACAGTACCAGCACCACCAGTAAGAAACACTGCAAACCAACCCACTCACCCTCTGGAACCCAAGAAACCTACCCCCATCCACTTCTTGGAAAGAGAACCAGAAATGCCCAAATACTCTGGAGGAAGAAAAACCATCAAGATCAAACCCTTGGATAAAGACCTCTGCTTTGATGGTACCAATATGCCCATAGAAAAATTTATCAAGAGATATGAGGCTGCTGGTGAAACAGATGGAGCAACCCCCCAGGATTTGGCCAAACAAATTATCCCCTTTATCAAAGGAATGGACCTAAAGGATGAAGTGGAGGAAATGTCAGGATATGAAGACTCTAATTGGGATAAACTGAAGAAACAACTACTCAACAGATTTGGATCCTCCCTTCCCCTAGTCAAATACACCAGGCATGACCTTAAGCACCTGGTAAATTCTGCCATCAAAGGAGGAGGAATCAAGACCCTGGAGCACTTTAAAATCTTTAGGACCAAATTTGAAGCCATCACTCACTATTTGGTCAGGATGGGATACAGTTCCAACTTGGAGGAATCCAGAGAATGCTTGTTGGAAGCCCTCAGCCCAGACTTGGAATCCTCAGTAACCAGGGAGCTCATCAGAGACAATATGATGTTGGCCTCCAAGGATGGTGGGGACATTTTACCAGATACTGAAACCTTAGTCAGTTATATCCACAGAGAAGTCCAGTCTGCCTCTATTATGGAAAGAAGAAAAGTCTGGAGAGGAATGGAGCAAAACAATTCAGCAAAACCCCCAGCCCAGAAAACCCAGGACCAGAAATCTGTGGAAGACCTCACCAAAACCTTGGCCAGCTGGCACACCCAGAAATCCAACCCCTTAATTTCCAAAAGCCATGTTCCCTACAAACCTGCCCAATTGGAGAAGGACTGGAGCACTGTCAAGTGTAACTACTGCCATGGACTAGGCCACACTTTCCATAGATGTAACATGGCCAATGAGGATGAACTAAAAGGACTCTTCAAGAAGGATGGACC